AACAAAGGCAAACTTACTGCTCCCTCAAGCCTTCTGGGGTAAGGTTAGCCAGGCTTCGCTGAGGCTCCAAGAACCAAGAGGAAGATGTGACAGGCAGGCAGAAGAGCCACTGTTGGCTGAATTCCTCTGTGGACATCCTGGGAATCTTGCTAACTCTATGTACATTCACTTATCTAATCCTCACGAGAGCTCTGTGAGGTGGGTACTACCATGATCCCCATCTAAAACCTGGAGAATTTATGAGGCTGAATCTGTATCTGCCTAGCTGCCCCTGACCACCTCACATACTGTGATTTTTTTTTTTCCCCTTTCTTGTCCTGAAAGACAGAGGTCAGATTTCTGTGACAAAGCATAAAGGGAAAGACATTTTTGATTAACAGTATTTATGGGAAGATGCCATTTTTGTGTGTTTCTCTGTGCAAGAAATGCCATTTGGAAAGCCGGTGTGCATGTCAGTATCTTTTTTTTTTTTCTTTCTGAGAAAAAGCCTATAGAGTCTGGTGGGGGGAGGGTTTGCAGCTGGCAGGAGCTTTGGCATATGTTGTAACTAAAAAGAGAGGGAATGTGTTGGTGGGACGAGCTACCGGAGAGCTGTCTCGGTGTGCTGTGGTACTAGTAAGTGTTTTAATTGGGTAGGGTTTTTGGAGGACTATTTTGACATCTGCTCGTGTCTTTGCTGATTTTTCTTCACTTAGAGTAGGAAACACAAGCTGTGGATAAAATGACTTTAAAATAATTGGAAGTAAAGATATCTCTCTCAAAGTCGAATTTGAGAGGGACACTCTTTAAGAAGTGGAAAGGAAATTCCACTTCGAGGAATCCATCCTAAAGCATAGGCTTTATGCCTACAGATTTCTCAACAATATTTATAATATTTTCTTAAAAACTGGAAATAGTCAATAAAAGGGACTTGATTGGGTTTGTTTCTAAGAAGTGGAACATTTTGTAGCAATTAGCAATGATCTTCAGGAAGCTTCTAATGAAGTGAAATATTGTTTATATTGTAATAAATGAGAAAATCAGAAAGAAACATTATGAATTGCTTCAACTGTGTTTTTAAAAGGAGGTATTGGGACAGAGAGTTATAGACGGAAATACACCATAACGTTATCTCCAAGGGGAAGATTAGGGTAACCACAGTTTTCTTCTTTGAACTTTTTTGCCTTTCCAATTTTTTTTTAACATATGTATTTTTTCTGCTTTTTATTTTGTATTGGGGTATAGGTGCTTAACAATGTTGTGATAGTTTCAGGTGAATAGCAAAAGGACTCAGCCATATATATACATTTCGCATACATAATTTTTATGATACAAAAGACAAGGGTCCTTTTGCATAAGAGGAAGCAAGCCCTGAGAGTGTTGGTGTAGCTGCATGCCCTATATAGATACTTGTTCTGAAGTCTGAGCAACTGATTTGAGGACGTCTTCAGAAAGAGTCATTTTGAGTTTAAAAATCAGCTCTGTCATTCCTTATCTGTGTGATCTGGACCACTTTCTTTGAGCTCTCTGAGCCTCCTCCTTTGATATCGCCCCCATAGCATGGTCAGGGTTAAAGGCAGGCATACAGTAATGGCCCAGTTTCCTTCTCCATCAGCACTACCCACCCACCCCCCAGCTTGAGAGGTTTTGTGGGTTTTGTTTTGTTTTTTGCCTTTTTTCCTCTTGTTTCCTTGAGCCTTTCAAGGATAGGGCACCATCCGGCCAAGCTGGCCTCCGATTCTTTCCTTGGGAACATGAGCTTCAGGAAGGCCCTTGAGTCCATGCCAGCCCCTTTGGAAGAGGCCTTGCCACCAGGAGGGCAGCATTGTCCTATGAGAGGAAACTGTGCCGACCCAGCTCCTCCTGGAGCCTGGTGCACAAGCATTTTGGTTACTAGGGGGACCCTGGCCTGCTAAGTCAGAAAAAAGGGCCAGGTTTTTTCCTCTTCTTCAGCCTACTGCCATTGTTCAAAAAGTAAACACTCCACACAGCTTAAGCAGCAAGTCCTCCAGCCAGGAGTGGGAAGAAATCAAAAGCCTGCTCCAGCCCAGCCATGGAGAGCCTACAAGGGCTGGTCTGTGCTGCGGGGCCCTACTGGGAACGCAGAAACAACACCCGATCCTGGTCCAGTATCAACAGCCTTGTCGCTGGGCCTTTCAGCCCAGGCTTCTCTGCAGCGGCCAGACCTCTTGCCCCCATCTGTTTGGGGCTCTCTGGAGCTCTTTGGAGGTCAGGTGAGGCAAAATCAGTAATTGCGGGGTGCAGCAGCCTGGAGTCCTTGGCTAAGTTCTGGAGCCCCCCATGACCCCTTCTCCCTTTCTGTGTCCAGTGCCAGGGTCTCTGCCTTTGAAGTGAGGGCCCAGCAGTTACCAGAAGGGACCAGAGGATTTTTGCCCTTAGGCCACTGCCACTGTAGTTTCCAAACTGGGGTCATGGCTGATGTGTATATTATAATAGCAATAATAAAAAGCTATTATAAGGCTACTGTATGCCCAGTGCTATGTGCACACCACCTCCAGTCCTCACAGCAGTCCACAAGGACGAGGGCTAGGAGGGCCAGTCACAGTTAACCTTCTTGACTTTACAGATGAAGGGGCCAATTAGTAACCATATAACCTTGGGCAAGCCCCTTCACCTCTCTGAGACTCAGTTTCTCATCTATGAATTGGGGACGCCTTATCTCCAGCTACTGCTGAGAATGAAAGAATCTGTGTGAAAGTGCTTTGTGAACTCTAAAATGTGATGTAAGTGAAAAAGATTCTCATTGAGGCTGTTTTTGTCACTCCCTGCCTGTGTACTGCTAAGTATTTAACCTGTTAGATTGCAAAGTAAGACAGCTAAGGAGCTCTGGACAGCTCCTCATGAGTCTTAATGTTCTCAGCTGTAAAATGGGGTTGTGCTTTGTAAAATACTAGTTATCAATGCTGTTTGCTGATAGCTTTTACCCTGTGAATAAACCAGTCAGTTAATATGAGCTTTGGGGCTTGGAGGAAAAAATAAACCTCTAAGTAGGCAATCTTGTCCCTCCCCTGTGTCTCTCCACCCACAGGAAGCATTTAGTAAATGTATGAAATGATTGATAGATATGTGGACTAGCCCATGGAGAAGTCAACAGCAGAAGAAATTTGACGCTGCTGGTCTTGCTGAGTGGAAGAGTTCCAGGACCCTGCCCTCTGGGAGTATTGTTTCAACCCTAGGAGGCTTCTCACCAGCATGGCTCCATCCTCCTGCTAAGAAAAATCTCAAAATGTTTACTTGGGTACCAAAGTCTGTCCTCAAGGCTGGGATTTAAGGCAAAAAACATCAACCAATATTAATGAGCGCTTACCAAGTGCCAATCATTTTGTCGAGTGCTAGTTATTATGCAGTGCTGAACCAAACGGATGAGTCCCTGAGGGAACCTATACCCAGCGGGGGGTGGGGGGTAGGCAGGCAGGTCAAGGGGTGCTAGGGCTCAGAGCAACAAGGATGGCAGAATTTGTTTTCTCTCGGGGTGTCTGACAACAAGGAGGCTAAAGTGCAGTGCAAGGGCACAGGCTGTGTAGGTGGCCACTGCTGTGTTACCTCTGCCGCTCACCTCACCTCTCTGAACCTCATTTTCCTCAAGTTACCTAAAATGAAGATAATAGGGTACACTTTGCAGGGACTGATAAAAATTAGTAAGTAAAGCATAGAACATAGAGCTAGTAAGCATCTATTACACTGTAATTGTTGTCCTTTTCCAGGGCATTAGCAAGCATAGGCTTTAGCAGCCATTGGGACGTCCAGCTCCATCACTAACCCATACGGTGCTCTTGGATGAATTAGGAAAGGGCATCTCCTCTCTCCCTCCACCAGCACCTACCCCCACCTTCAACTGATGCCTGTCAGCAAGCTCATAGGTTGGCAGATCTCATCCTCAGCTTGGCTAGCTGGGCGTGCTGGGCAGTGCATACCTGCACAGTCATACCCAGTAGCTCAGAGGTTGGCTGATAATGAAACTGACCCCTTCTACATAGGGTGACCACATAGCCCATCTTACACTGCTGCGCTGGTATAATATACTCCTTCATATCCGTGAGTATTCCAGTTTGGACCACAAATTACAGGGTCTTTCTGCTTAATCAGGACAAAATGAAAGTTCCAGACTCTAGAGAAATGAGCTTTGATATATAACGGGGTAAGAAGATTGAAGGAGATTGGCAGTAGGAAGTAGGCAAGGGGAAGTAGAGGTGGATTCTAGCAGTGGGTAAATAATGTGATTGAAAAGTAGCTTACTCATAGGCTTGCACTTCTACAAACCACGGAGAGTTACTCCTGGCTGATGGGCTGTTCGTTTCTCCAGACAGTCCCTTCATCCTCTCACCAAATATGAACATCTAGTAGGCACAACCCTCCCTTACCCTTCTTGTTATTATACTAGTAGAATAATGGGTTATGGCCAGAACCTGAGAGCCATGATTCACTGGATTTCTATGGAAAATGGAACCAAATTGAAAGTATGACCTTTCTACTTAATGTTTAAGAGAAATGTTAATATGTTAACACTATGTTGTACAATGTATTTCATACCCAAGAATGCCAAGATTTTGAGAGAGATGGGCAAGGAATCTTTGGTAAATGAGAAGAGATGAATGGAATGAGACTATGATAAGAGCCTAACTGTATATCTGAGTTCCTGGAACCAGAGCTTTAAACTTCAGCTTCTTCTTTTTTATTTTAAATTGAAAATATAGGGAAAAAAATAATGTTGGGGTGTAAAGATCTCTCCCCCTAGCTGTGTGACCCAGGGCATTTAACTCAGTCTCTGAAACCCTTTTCACTCCTGGGTATTGGGGATAACCATACAAACTCACGCAGTTTTTGAGATAGTTAGATGGCCTCACATGTTAACTGCTTGGCATTGAGCCTGCCACAGAGTACACTTTGTCAGATGTCACTTTTCCTCCTCACTCCCCTTTCCCTGAGGAAGCCAGGGAAATGTCTGTGTCTTCGTGGGACTTCAATGATTTTCTCTTCTGGATTTTTTCTTTTACTTGCAGAAAGTCAGAAACATGGCCCTGGATGATGTCGTGATCCTGAATGTGGACACCAACACCCTCGAAACTCCCTTTGATGACCTCCAGAGCCTCCCAAATGATGTGGTGGGTAATGAGCTCTTGCGTTCTGACTCCCAGGAGCTCCTGCAGTGGACATGAACATGCCTTTGAAGAGACTGCTGTGGTTTTCCTGTGGCCTGGGAACCACAGTTGGTTTTTGTTATTACCTCTGGAACCTTTGTCTCAGTGAAGGAAGTTGGGGGGTGGTTCACTTTTTTAGTTTTGTATTGCTCTCATAACCCTCACCTGAAGTGACCCCAGGGTCTAGATAGCATCTCTTCCTGGGGAGTCAGGGGGTCTTGCCATCCCCATTGCCACTGCCGTGTCCAGAGAACAGAACAACCTCCCCAGGTAACCCCACCAAAGGCAAGCAGAAGGGCTTCAGTGTGAGCAATTTGGGGCACTTCAAGCCTATATTTTTTTCTTGCGCCATTGTCAAACCCAGCCATTTCCCATGTGGCAGAGTATCTGCTGCCAGTGTTCTGAATGTGGCTCCACGTGCCCTAAACCTATTTTTTCCTAGTTACCTCTGGACTAGACAGAAGGTGGGCCTATTTAGGGGAAAGCAACTGGCTGCCACATTTGCCACACTGACACCTGACCATACACCTGTCTCACATTGCCACTCAGAGCTACCTTGTGGGTGGCTATTCAAAGTAGACCCAGTCTCCCCCATCATTCATACAAATCAGGAGGATTGGGGTCCCCTCCAAAGTACAGTTCTAATGTTTGTGGTTTAGCATCCATGACTCTGCTTGAGAGAAAGTGTATAAAGTCATGCTGGCTTCCAGATTGGAAGGGGTGGGTGCTCCTAACCGTGTGCACTATGGAGGTCTGGGTTTGTGTGGTGGCCGGTGGGCCCTGCCCTGCCTCACTGCCAGGAGTCCCAGTGGCCCTTGGGGGTTAGCCGCCCGGGAGAGGTTGCTGCCTGTTGATGAATGGCTGGCATCAGGGTTTCAGACTTCTCTGCTCCTAACTGACTGCGAGGTTTTGGGGGGTCATTTGTAAGGATGAGTTACTTGTACCATAGTCAAACAGCAGTACAGTTCACTGACTTTTACATGCTGAACACTCATCATTGACCTTCCATTTACGCTTCATACCTCTTGGAAGGTATTTGTCTTACCCTCACTTTACCCACAGAGCTGAAAAGAAGGGGAGCCGTAGAAGTGAACCCAGCTCTGTCACTCCAGAGCCACCAGCCTCAGTGCCCCTCTAAGTGCCCTCTGCATCTGGGGTCTCATTCAGTAGGTGAGGGAGAGAAGATGCTCAAGGGGCACATGTCTTGCCACTAACTATAAGGCTGGTTAGAGGGCAGAGCTGTGGTTGGAGCCTGGTGTGGATGACGCCCAGCCCATGCTGCCTCCACTTTGTGTACATGGCCCCCCTCTGAGGCAGAGAGAGATGACAGCATAGGAAAAATGAAAATACCAGCCCTATGAGGTTTGCTGTTGATCAGGATGGGGTATGTGGTTGGTGTCTTTGGACCTCTTGGCTGTAATTTGAGTTCTTTTGATCCAAGGAACTTGAGGTTTCTATTCAAATTCCCTTTCAGTGGAAAAGTTCTCTCTTTAAGTCATGGCTGTCTTAGGTATGGACCTTGTACTTGCTGAGCAAATGTAGAATGTAAACCTGGGGTATTTGAGGTACAAGGAGTGGCTGAGAGCCCCAGGCAGCCAGGGGTGAGTGACTGATGGCTTAGAAACCATGGAGTGGACCAACTATCCCACAGGTGGTGCTCTGACCCCGTGCTTCACTTTGAATAGCAAAGACAAAGCAGATCTAGCCCTTTCCTTCAAAGAGCATGTTCCAGTAGGGGAAGCAAATATGTAAATTACATATATCTCAGGGCATAGCATATTAGAGGCCAAAAGAAAATAAGAATCAGACACAGAATTGCCCAGGGGGAGGGTAATGGAGGCCTCCTGAAGATGCCACATTCCAAGATGCCTTTTAAATGATCAGGGAACCAAATCTTTGGTTCCTGATCAAAAGAACAACTATAAGCAAGTCATTTTCTCTTGCTGAGCTTCAGTTTCCCATCCTTAAAAGAGGAGTACTAGACCTATCATTAGTTGCTGTGGCAAGTAAATGAGATTGTGGTGTTCATCAGATGCTTGGCACTGTGTTCACATGTAGTCAGTGTATGATAAATGGGACCTGCATTTGTCTTTAATAAGATCACTGTCAATAAGTACAGGCAGAGTTAGAAGACAGTTGGTTCCCTCCTTATCCTAACAGTTCTCAGCCTACATGAAAAGGACCTCCCATTTACAAGGTGGTTTGTGAAGGGTCCTATAGCGGTGGCTTCCAGAATGGGGCTCTAGACTCATCAAAGATTCCAATATAGTCGTGAGAAGAGACTGTGATCCGTACAGTAATCACTGTGATTCGGTGGGATTGATAGATCTGATTCATAGATTTGATTTTTTTTTTATGTGAAAATGAGTTTTATTGTTTTTAAAGCTCTTTGTAGTGGGTGTCGATGGTCACCTGCCATACTTGTTCCAGATTGTCTGCCGCAGCCAACAGAGTTTGGCCATCAGCATACAAAGCCACTGGGGTCACTGTGCTTCGCCACTGGTACTGATAACTTCTTGTTTCAGCTCACCTACAATGACCTTGCCCTCCAAGTCCCAGATCTGGATGCTGGGCCTGTGGCAGCAGAGCCAGTAGCAGTTGGGGCTGAAGCACCGGGCACTCGTGATGTCCCTACCACCTGGTGTTGAAAGGTGCTTGCCTTCCTTGAGGCTTTGTGAGCTGTCAGGTCCTGGAGAGGGGGCAATGTTACCCAGCACACCTTTGTCCTCTGCACGTGGTACAGGACTGTGTCCTTTCAATGTATCAGTACGTCCAGTTGACCTCACCATCTCCGCTTTTGTCAAAGCTGCTTGTTTACTGCATCTGACAGATTCTGCTTCTTAAAGTTTCTCAAATTGTCTTTGCCATCCATCCTAAACACCACCGAATCCAAGCTCTTATTCCTCTCCTGCCCTGTTTCCAGCAGCCTCTGAACTGATTCTTCAGATGCCAGCCCTTGTTACTCTTACACCAGAGAGCCCTTTCTAAAACATAAATTTATTTCCTCCTACTGAAAACCATTTCATCAATAAACGCAATTTTAAGAACAAAAAACAACTTCTGAAAACAAAAATAATCCTTCTATAACCTCCCGATTCCTATAGATTAGAGGCAAGTTTCTTTTGTTGGTTTTGGAATGAGATAGACCTTTGTTTAGATTCTGCCTCCTTCACTTACTTATCTTATGATCTTGGACAAAATTATGTAAGCTCTCTGAGGCTTAGTTTCCTTATAAGGTGAGAATTATATGTAATGAACGTAATATGTATAAAGTTCTGTAGGTGGAGTCAATGATGATGAATTACGGATGTGAATGATGGTCAGCATGGCATGCAGGGCCCTCCTTTCTGATAGGATCCTCCCATTTCCCCCCCATAACTTTAGCTCTTTCCTCTCCCTGCTTCAAACCCTATGTTATAGGTGTTTGGAATTAATAATTCTCCCAAGTTTACATGTTGTTTCATTACTTTATACTTTTCATACAGTGTCTTTTGTCCCGAATGTTCTATTCCATCTGTCAATCTCTACTCATTTTATAAGACTTAAACTAAATGTAAGGCTGTAAAAACCTTCTCTGACCTCTCTAAGTAGATTTGACTGTACCTTTCTCTTTGTTCTCAGAAACCCCTGTATTGCTTATAAAATTACACTTACCATCCAGCAGTATACATTTCTGGCTTTCCCTTTTAATTGTGAGTTCTTTGAGGGCAGGAATCAAGTTTTATTCATCTTTGTTTCTAAGGGATATAGCAGCCACTGAATAGATAGATGGAAGGATGGAAGGGACATATGGATTGGGTTATTTTGGTAGATGAAATCTTGCAAAACATGGCATCCATGCTGGAAATTTTATTAAAAGAGGCCTTTGTTCTGTTCTAGCCACGATGGAGTAATTGGAACTGAATTTCTCCTCCCTCCATTTACAAATAAAACTCTAGGCAAATACGAAAACAACTGTTTTCACATATTGGACAACAGGCAGTGCAGGAATATAATCCCTGAGAGAAAGGAAGCAATTGAGATGAAGCCTCTGGTCCTCCTGGCTTTCTGCCGTGAAGCGTTTTCTAGACTCTGTTGCTAGAGGGGACTCCCCAGTGAAGCACAACAGTCTTGCTGAATCAAGGGGTTAGAGATCTGAGTTTGAGGGAGAGGTGGTTTAAATTTGTGGGTCAGAGTACCAGATACAAGGGAGCTACTCAGCAAAAAAAAATCTAAACTGAGTCCTCTTGATTCATCTGCTGTAGACAGATCTGCCCATGTGTAGAGGGGAGCTCCCGAAGAGTAGGAGTCATTCAAGCTCTAGCCAGCCAGAGTAAGGAGAGCTTGTTGACCACTCAGGCAATCATTAGAGACCCCAGAGGCCACGCCCTGGCGGAGTAGTCTAAATTAGCTCTAAAATAAAGGTAATTTTAGCCCTGCCCTCATACAGCTTAAAAATCAAGCCTTGAGGAGCATAAGAGAGGGCTTCAATGATGCTGGTAATGTGCTGGCTTTTGATCTGAGTGCCAGGTACATGAGCAAGAATTTATCAAGCAGGACATGAGTGATATATGTACTTTTATCTACGTATGTATGTTAAACTTCAGTAAAAAGTTTTAAATAAAACCATTTCTTTTTAAAACTTATCATGATCAACCTGATATACAGGAAAATGAACCTGTCAAAACAAACTTCTACCCACTTTTAAAAGAGACTAAAAATCTAACAACCAACAATGTAACATTCACAGTATCTAGCATCCTATCAAAAAATACTAGACATATTGAGAATCAGAAATGATGTAATCTATAACCAAGACAAAATATAGTTAATAGAAACAAACTCAAAAATGACAGCTATGATAGAATTAGCAGATGAGAACCTTAAGGTAGACATTTTAAAAGTTATAAGTATGCTCATGAACTTAAAGAAAGACTTGAACTGAATTAGGAGAGAAATGGAAGATATAAAAAGAATGAAAGGGA